TTTTTTTTTTTTCATAAATTTGTAATTTTATTATAGAAAAAAAAATTCAATTTTAAAAGTAGTTTTAAACAAGTTTTTTTTAAAAAAAAAAAAATTGAATATGTAACTTTTTTTTTAATTTGTTTTAAAATACTTCTAGAAGCTAGTTGTTAAATTTTCTTCATCCAACACTTTAAATTTATTAAAAAAAATTATTTTTAAAATAAATATCTATTAAATTTTGTCAAACGCAATTATAATATATTGATTACTGTCCTTACCCTAGGTTGAAATGTATTCCTTGAAATATATATACATACATATAATTCTGATACTCAAAATAAAGGTGCAATTAATTGGCAGCTGAACTGAGTCTATATAAGCCTAGACACTAGAGCAGTCTAGTCTGGTTCCCATAAATGAATATGATAATTCAGTTTCTTGCTACCGTAATGTCATTGAATCATTCATACATACACTGTCCTCCCAAATAGGAACTTGAAACTGACCTTAGTCTGGGGTAAGGGCCAAGGCCTAATTCAACTTTTAGCTGACCAAGTCCATCATCAATCGGCCCATCCACATGGTTCTTGCCTATGGCGCCACACTACACATTACATTACCACCAAACGGCAATAAGAGGAATATCAATGCTGCCGTTCATCCCACGATAGAATAGAGACTAATAATTCTATTAGACACCAAAAGTGAATCCGGGAATTCAGTACAATCAGTAAAGGTAGGTAGTCAACTAATTTTCACAGATACAAAATCAAAACTGAGACAGCTTGCTTTAGTACAACAACACATCAATCCTAGGGCCAACCCAACAATTTCAAACACCCTGCCAATACAAAAACTCCCAATATTTGCATATAATGTAAGGAAGTCCTTTAGTAAGCTTCATAGACCTCAGCACCATCAATCATCTCAGCAAATCAAAACCCTTATATTTTTTTCAGTCATCCAGGGCAGCTTCAAACTATGTATGCCGGTTCTCAGTAGTCAAGTTGCTGCTACTGCTCCCACCAGCGTGGATTGGTTCCCCAACTCTAGCTGCCAAGGCAAGGACTTCAGGTGACATTTCCCAGCTTCCACTTTTCCTACCCCAACTAGATCGCCTGGGATGTACTCCAGCACGGTCTCCTATCTCATCTACTGCAGTTCTAATGTCCGGGGACAATTGTCCTAATTCACCCTCCTTAACATTCACTCTCTCGTTGTTAGTGAGTTGCACTACACAGTGATCAGTTGCAGTACCCATATCTCCCCATACCGTCTTCCTACCCATTTCTATGTCATCCACAGCTTTCCCCATGTTTGGACTCATAAAACCCCCACCAGCAGGTCGGGTAGGTAATGCAGGTTCCCTGGGCACCTTAGCCCTGAAATTGTTCTTGGATGGAGGAATGCTAGAGCAAAATATCTCCTTGAAGTTTTCAACCACTCCTTTGTTATACGGGTTGGCTCGATGATCATACCTATATCTAAAATTCTCATATGTGGTCTGCAAAAACAAGGCAAATTAAGTATATATAATTTAACATATACATCAAAGTAAGAACACATGTGATGGAGTCTTTATGCAACTTGATTGTGATCAGGGTAAGAAGAGTATCTTACCTGATTTGTACTGATCAGATACAAATGGAAAGCAGTCAGACCACCGACAAACCACATTGCTATGAAAGTATAGACTATCAGGACTATGGAAGCAGGGGTTTTGATCATCGCTTTCCAAATTGTTAACTCCTCTGAGTCCATGATCCTTCTGATGTAGACCCAGCAGAAAGCAAAAACATATATACAGAGAAGAGTTGTTGAGAAGACAAACATGGAGAAGAACCGATAGTTTCGCTGCATCCAGAAATACCATAAATCAAATACACATGTTTTAAGTATCATGCCAGCTGAGATGACTTTTGAAATTCTAACTGTCTTTCTTCCTTTAATTTAAATGATATTTTAATAAGATGAGAAATTTGCAACTAAAAACTAATTGTCAC